CCTGGTTGTGCTGCCATGGGGCTGCCCGTGAGCATCCAGCTGGAGCCGGACAGCAGAGGCGAGCGGATGCTGCAGAGCCAGGAAAAACCTCCTGCACCATGGCAGCTGGTGAGTGCAGGCACCTACGGTGTCCTGGCCCTTTGTCTCTGGCGGTGGGGATGTGGCGCAGAGACCCAGAGCCACCTCTGTGCTGACCGCAGGTTTGCACGTAGGTTCTGCTGGGTTTTGGGGTGGAGAGGTGTCAGGCAGGGCTGGCCGGCCAGCATCCCTCTGCACTTCAAGGTTTGGCGTGTCATTCCTCCTGTGGGGCTGCTCGGCGTCGGCAGGGCCGGAGTGTGGTGATGAAATACGCAGAGACACGAGGCTCGTGTGTGCTTGCATAGTCCTGAGGAGAACCAAGTGACAACAACAACCAAAAAAAAGCCATTTTGTGCCACTGGGAAACTGCCACCGGTGGCCTTTCTGGGCAGGACGTTCACGGTGGTTTTCTCTTTAACCACAGAGAAAATACACCGTAGTGGGGGTGGGAAAAAGAAGGAAAGGCTGCTCCTGGAGATGCCGGGGATTGAACCCGGGACCTCATACATGCAAAGCATGCGCTCTACCGCTGAGCTACATCCCCCTGCCCCGCGCTGCTGGCCCTGCCCGGCGGCCAGGTGGGCGACGGGCCGGGGTCGCGCTGCCCCGCTCGCCCTCCGCCTCCCTCCGCGGCTGTGAGGGGGACACGGAGCAGCCCGTGGGCGGGGAGGGAAGCGAGGGGAGGGAAGGGGAAGGGGGGCAGAGGGGTGCCCCGGCGGGGACAGCGCCCCGCGCGGTCAGGGGACATGACAGCCGTGTGGTTCCCAGGCCCGGGATGGAGCTGCGAGTGCTGTACGGCGGTGTTCAAACAGGTCTTAAGGATCCCTTTGGGTTCGCACGCGCAAAACTGTGGTTTTATTCCTCCTTCGGGAATTCGAAAAATCCGTGCGGGAAAGAAAAAAAACTTGGCAGGAAAAAAAAACTTGGATAAAAAAAATATAGTGCACCTCCCCGTCGGGGAATCGAACCCCGGTCTCCCGCGTGACAGGCGGGGATACTCACCACTATACTAACGAGGACGGTCTGATAAAATGTTCCTGCGGACCGCCCCATCCCCGAGCAGGCGCCGCTGGGCTCCACCGCAGCCGCCCCCGGGTACGCACCCGCCCTGACACCCGTCTCCGCCGCCCCTCATCCGGCG